TAAGTCCTGCCCCTTCCAACCCTGCTAGTATATTCAATTACTCTTTTCAAAAACCTTTTTCTTTCTTTTGCTCTCAAACATATTTCCAATTTCCCTTATCTTCAAAAATAAAAACCACTCCTCTAAAAAGACTTTCCTTGAATTACTTCTTTTTTCAAAATTTTTTAAATTTTATGTATATGAATGTTTTGCTTGTAGGTAAGTGCATGCACTGCCTGTGGAGGACAGAAGAGGGCACTGGATGCCCCAGAACTGGCGTTAAAGATGGCTGTCAGCTACCATGTGAGTGCTGGGAGCCAAACCCAGGTCCATTGCAAGAGCAGCAAGTGCTATTAACCACTAAGCCATCTCTCTAGGCCCTTGATTTACTTTTTATAGACATGATTTAATCTTACTCCTTCCTCTCAAATCCGAGCACTATGATTGTATGAATTTGCTCTTCTAGAGACCCATTTCTCTAACAACTCATCTACCTTCCACCCCATTCCACTGGTATTGATCATCTGAAAAGGCTCTAACAAACTATACTCACTATGTCCAGTGGTCATCTCTGTCTACCTTCCATGATCATTCTCTGGTAACGGTATTACTCTGGAACTGATATGATCCCAAAGGTTTTCTGTGCTCTTCTGTGTTATGTCACATAACACATAAAATAAAATACACATACACATAAAATAAAATAAATAAAATTAAAAAAAAAAAAGGGGTCAGGCATGGTGGCGCACGCCTTTAATCCCAGCACTCAGGAGGCAGAGGCAGGCGGATCTCTGTGAGTTCAAGGCCAGCCTGGTCTACACAGTGAGTTCCAGGACAGCTGGGGCTACAGGGAGACCCTGTCTTAAAAAGATCAAAAGAAATAAAAAGAAAAAAATAGAACTGTCTTTCCTGTTGCCTTTTCTTTTCCCTCTGCCTTTCATGAATGTTCTGCAAAGTCATGTTGTTTGGTTAAGTGTCCCCCAATGGTCCACATGTTAAAGACTTGATTACTGGCCTATGACATTACTGAGGTATTCCAAGTGCTATGTGCAGAGAGATGAGACACCAAGGCATTTCTTCCCTCCAGGAAGCAGTTTATTATGCTGGCACCTAGCTCTGTGAGCTAGTTCTCAAAAGAAGAGCCTTGAACAAAGAAAGGCCCAGCCTTTTATGCCCTCAGTTAGTTTCCTTTTATAGTTCAGTTTCTCTTTGTCCCATACACGTGGTAACACACATGTCCTGATTGGGTGCTAGAAGGTCCTGACAGGCAGAACTGTGTACATGTACTCAGGCAGAGAAAATATTGTGTTCCTTTTGTTACAGTAAGAGCTAACATCATGTATGCGCTTTTGATTTTCAGACCTTCAACTATTCTCTACCTGAAATGCTCACCTGTACTGTGCCTGCCCTCTGCTCACTAGACAGCTCCTGATATAACACTTGGAAGTACCATTTTCACTTCCAATTCAACAAAACAAAATCTTTCCTAATCATTTCTTACCAAGCAACTTTTCTGAATATTTCTTGACTATAACATAGAGATGTTTCTGATTAATGCCTTTCAGTTCCTAGACCCTGTATATTGAGAAGCTCTGTCTTTCCAAATAGCATCTCCTAACTCACTGCAACTGCATTTATTTAACCACTTCACCCCAGCTTTATTATAAGAGCAAAACCTCCTATCTTCTATAATCTATTCTTTGTGATACTTCTAGACTGATCTTCCTAAAATAGCATCTTAATTATTAATGTTTAACTATTAATTAATTATATACTCTATCTAAGAACCTGAATATCTGTAATGTTTCCCCATTACCAATATAGGCCAATATATAACTTAGTTGGCAAACGTTTTGTGAAGGGCTGTGCAGTAAGTATTTTAAAATTCTGCAGACCATATAGTCTGTTGTACTTATTTAACTCCACAACTATAATGAGAAAACAGTCATAATATGTAAGCTGGGCATGGTGGTCCATGTAATCCTGGCACTTGAGAGGTAAAGGCAGGAGAATCAGGAGTCCAGGCCAGCCTTAGCTACATAGTGAGTTTGAGGTCAGTCTGGCATACATGAGAGCCTGTCTCAAAATAAGCAAACAAACAAAATTTTTAAATGTAAATGAATGAGCACAACTATATTCCACTAAAATTTTATTCACCAAAATAGATATTTGGTACATGGGTCATAGTTCCCCCACTCTTGGTCTAAATCTACCCCATATATCCAATTTTACATCCCATCAGTAATTCTATAAATACTTATCTCTATGCACAGGTGCTGTCCAGTGGTTACTAATATAGCATAGAGCTAGTTTCTAGACTTAGAAAGCTTTTGGCTTAGGAAGGAAGAAGAGCACTATATAAGAGATTTCAAATGTGTGAAATGTTCTAAAAGGAAAGGTCTTATAGGACTATGTAGCTGGAAGCCAGAGAAGGCAATGGTAACTGTGAGCGAGGACAAAGTGGAAGAGGTACCTACACAAGTAAAGACACACAGGCCAGACACCTGCTGGGAAGCTACTGCAGAATCTAGAACAGACATATATGTGGTTGCACTGGGGAAGTAATCAACCATGGAGGAGTCAAAAAGTACAAAGCCAAGAGATTATGGAGGTAGAGTGAAAAAGGACTTCATGATGGAGCACATCTGAAGGGGGAAAGGGATCTGAAAGGTGACTCCCAAGTTTTGACTGGATAAATGAGGTACACAGTAGTGCACCTGCCTCACTGAGCAAGACACTCAAGACACTCAAGGAGAGATTACACAGGTACATGTTTGGCTCTATGACTTCAGTCCCTCACCTTTCCCCTAAAATCTTCAAAAGCCTTGTATACCTCCTCTCTACAATATCCTAATGTCTTTGTGCTCTAATTTATTTTCAATTTCTAATTCTCACATATAGTTTGATATTTAAACTACAACTCTCTCTCACAGCAACAAACACTGGTTTTCTAGTGGCAATAGTTATTTCAAGCAATATATAAGGTGTGTAGAATAATTGTTTTGTACTTCCTTCATTTGTGTCCTGTACTCAAAGTACAGAGAATACAGGAACTACTCAAATAGTACTTGCTCTCAAATACACAGATATATGTATAGACAGCATTAATAAAAACATGCTCACACATATAGACAACTCATTAATTACTTGTTAGCCTAAGATGATGGAACCAAGTAATAAACAATGAAGAATTATGAAGCCAAGACTGCTCAGGCTTTTTCCATTTTGAGCATTAATGCCTTAATTAAATAGACCACTCTCTTAATTAAATAGACCACAGTAAGATAGGGATTTGGTTGGTTGGTTGTTTCTGTTTTGTTTTTTATTTTGTTTTTTTTTTTTTGATACAGTATTAAATTACCAAAGAATCAGGAAAAAAATTGAGATCTGAAGCTTTTTAACAGTCCTACCATCATATTATGACTTACCAATAGAAAATGAACAACATCTCCTCTGCAGAAAGCAAGCATGGTATTCACATAGTTATGTACTGCCACAAAGCACCAGGCCAATAATGGAACACAGGAAGGATCCATCTATGTAAAAAGAAAACAAAAGGAAACATTCATCACAATTGACAAAAGGACAAAGAGAAAATTCTGTTTAAAAACAGCATCTGAAGAGCAGTAGAGATGGCTCAGTAAGAGCATTAGCTGTTCCTATAGAGGACCTGGGTTCTGTTCCCAGCACCCACATGGCAGCTAGGGGATCTGATGCCCTCTTCTGGCCTCTGCAGACAGCAGGCATGCACACTGTGCACATACACACATGTGGCAAAACACTTATACACACAGAATAAAAGCAAATAAACCTTTGGAAAAAAAAAATCATCTGACCATCTCTTTGCTAAAATCTTCCCCAATTTCTTATACAAGTTCCAACGAAGCAGGGACTGACTAGGAAGTGTTACAGGGAAGTTTCTGGGTGATAGTCATGTTTTATACCTTGATAGGGGTTTGAGTTACAAAAGTATATGCATTTGTCAAAGTTCAACAAATGTACACTCAAGATTTGTGTATCGGTTTCTGTAATTTACTCTGAAATCCATAAAAAAACTAAAATAGCTCGATGTGTAGAGAGATGGATAGATACACAGATATGTAATAAAGAAAATACAATAAAACGGTAATAACAGAATTTAGGTGGCAAGCATATGGGCATTTAATTGGAAATTCTTTGACACCTCTGTTCAAAAATGTTTGCAATAAGATGTTGGGAGGAAAATGCACAAAAAAAATGCAACATGTATCATCATGATAGAAACATCAATTAGTCAATGATGCCAACCTCAGCCAGCTTTGCCTAGGACAAACCTGCTCCTCCTGGGGCTCAAAGACACACAGTGTGCCAACAAAGACACAAGAGTGCTCTCCTTCAGTGTTCATGTTGCTGCCTTCTGAATTAAATTAGCCAGGGTTCTTCAGCACCCATCACTCCCATGGCATCCCATTAACATCCCTCCTTGTACACACACTCCACTCTCTTAAAAACATCAAACACCAAAGACCTGGGAAACTGGGCTGTCTATGGGGAATTCATTCTAGGTCCACGCTTAGATGCCAAAATCCGTAATGCTCGTGTTGAATATATAATGGCAAAATATTAGTATGTAATCTGTGTACTTTTTTTTTGGTCTTTTTGAGATAGGATCTCCTTGCAGCCCCAGCTGGTCTGGAAATCACTATGTAGACCAGACTAGCCTTGAACTCACAGAGATCTGCCTGCCTCTGCCTCCTGAGTGCTTGGGTTAAAGGCATGAACCACCATGCCCTGCGTAATCTGTGTTAATCTGACGTTACACTGTATCATTTAGTGACAAGGACACAGGTCCGTACATGTTCACTATAGAGGTAAAATTTTAATGATTTTTTAATTTATTTTTATTTTATGTGTTTTGCTTGCATGTATGTAAGTACACCCATACGTGCAATGCCCATAGAGGACAGAAGAGGCACTGGATCCTCTGGAAATGGAGTTACAAATGATTATGAGCTGCCACTGGGTGCTGGGAACCAACCCTGTGTCCTCTGCAAGAGCAGTCAGTGCTCTTAACTGCTGAGCCATTTCTCCAGGCCCTTTTCTGAATATTCTGATGTGTTGCTGGTTAAATTCATAGATGTAAAACCCATAATTACATATGGTCATCTGTACTTTCTCAAAAATAACATCTTCTAAAGAACATAGCAAGGGTAGAAACCACGGAAAGCATGTGTACTAGCAATTTATACTGGATACTACAGTGGGGTCTACATGATCAGAAATTTGGTTTCAAAACACAGACAGTGAGCATAATCCTGCCTCAGCACAGCTATCACACAGTGTTCTTCAAACACTGGAAATCAAGGCTAGGATTTAGCACATCAACTTATCCATCAGTCTTCAATCCAAGAAGGAAACCTTACCAGCCTCTGAAGAGCAGTGAATGAAGCTAGGAAAATTGGTGAATGAATTAAGGTTTAACTACACAGCACCAGGGCAGTAATACACAAAAACTGTCAAACTGTAGTTAAAAACAAAAGCCAACCTTATGTTGTTTACGAGAGAAAAGCTTCAAACATCAAAGGCACAGAAGTGTAACATGGTATGATTCTCAAGACACCAATCTTTCCTGCTTCCATTGCTAAGGTGAGTCTAACCAATGACCTGAGACCACTCACTTCCATTCCACATCTACATTTTGGACTCTCAAGAGAATTCACCCTTACAAATAATTCTTCTGTCCTCCCGACTTAGTTCTTCCTTTTGCCAACAAAATGGAGAGGCATACTTACCCGTCCATAGGGGAAAGTCATCCACACTTTCAAGGATGGTTTCAATCCAATAACCAGGATCTACAGGAAAAAAATATGTTATTTTCATTATTTACCTTGCCATTTTCAAACATCAAAGCTTCTAAAAGCTAAGAGCTTCTTCTAAACACACCTGCCTACCATTGTTAGGGATACCATGGCCAATAATGAAAACTGTGTGATGGGATGATCTTTCAACTCAGGCTTAGAATGCAGAGGCTCAATGCAGCAAACTTCTCCCTGCTTTGTGTACTCTTTCTTCTATTTTATTAATGGATTTTTTTGCTACTCCAAAATTCCCCCCTCTGAAGGGGTACCCTAAAATCTTTTAAGGATTAGGTAAGAGTTCACAAATATTTTTGACATTTTTGGCCTTTGGAACAGAGTACGTTGCTAAGAGGCCCAAGGACATTTTGACTTTTAGCCAAGAAACTGGCTACTTTTCTTTGGTCTTTTTACCCTAATTGCTTAGCCAATTCCTACCTTCTAGTCTTTTTTTTTTCAGCTAAATTATTTAATTTTACTTTTTAAAATTATTTATTTAATAACCACATACTTAGAAGAAGCATTTCATTACAACAGCATTGACATATTCAATAACAATTTCAAGAGCTAAGATGTATCTCTTTCCAAATTGGCTGTAATTTTTTAGGTTTACAGTTGAATTAATACAGTTATACATTACTCAGTATAAACCCTGTAAGACATAAAATTGAATGAGGTTTTAACCTTTAAAAAAGAGATCTCCATTTCATTATTAAAATTCGGGGCTCATTTGATTTTATGTCTTACAGGGCTTGTACTGAGTTCAATATTGTATAACTGCATTGATTCAGCTGTGAACCTAGAAACTTGCAGCCACATGTGAAAGAAATGTACTCTTGCTCTGGAGTGTATTACTGAATATGTTAAAGCTGTAGTGAAATGCTTCTTCTAATCATGTAGTTACTAAAAATTACAAAAATAGTGATAAAAAAATAAAAATAAATAAGTAGTAATAATATAAGTACTGGAA